TAAGCAATGCAAGTCAGACTATGAGAGAGGCACTGTATGCCCCTGCTTAATATATTTCAAATGTCTGTGCTCTACAGCCGAAACAGAAAGACTGGAAGGTATAAAAGTGGGAGGGGGGACAATAGCAGACAATAGAAGCAGTATAGAAGGGGGTGGTAATAGGGGGTGAGAGGAAAGGAATCAGGGGGAAAATATTTATGGAGAATTATTAATTTATTATTATTTTTTAATTTGCTATGGTGCATGTGCACTCAACCAGAGAGACAAAGAGAAAGTGAGAAAGCAAGCCACTAGGCCCAGGACTTGAATTGTGGCCAGCCATGTCGAAGTACAGAGTTGCCTTAACCACACGCCATCATTTTTCCTACCTGGCAAAAATGCATCATGACTTTTTCCTGGCTGGTCTGGAAAAAACCTCATTTAACAGACACAAAAAATGAAACGGTATTTGTTGATGAAATGTACACAGTAATGTCTTAGACTGGACTAATATACACTGTATTCATGCTGGGAAAAAAACATTTTGTATGCTGTAAAGATGTGCAGTGATTAAATGCAAATTAAAAAAAAAATAACTATTCTACCAAAAAAAGAAAACCCTCACACACTGTAGTTAAGCTTAGTTGAGACAAAAGTTAGTACACCTTCAGTCTTCCCACTCCTTCTCAATGGACTTTATTTCCCTCCTTCCCCCTGAAATGTACATGGCTATCAAATTCAGAAAGTCATGTTTTGGTCTTTCTTCTGTTTAACAGGGCAATTTCAGTGATTCAATAAGGCACAGCTGGGAAAAAATGCGATTTAGCGTAAATGTGGAAGCTTACTGGGAGATATATTATAACTTGGATTTACTAAAGTGGTTCTTTGGTGCTTCAACTGACAGACCATCTTAAATGTTCATAATGGAAAAACTGAGCACATCTCAGGATAACTGCCTTGTTTTCAGATGATTTTTTTCCAGACTTGTACAGCTACATTGTCAAGTGCATTGGTTCTAAAGACACATGTAAGCTTGTTGGAACTTACTTCCTCACTATAAAAGACAGCTACTATTTTTAGCAATTTTTAGAGACTAAGCTTTTATGGTTATAATAAAATACATGCTCATTGATGACAAACTTGGAAAATATGGAAAAGCAGAAACAAGTCACCTATATACAAACTCCTCACAAACCCCTCCTCTTAAAGGAATCTCCATTGCATTCTTTTATCCCCTATTTTTCACCACATGGATTTTCATGTACATATACAGAAATCATTTTATTTAAAATTATATTCCTAGTATTTCCCCAAGTAACAAAATTGTTCAAAATAGTTTTTCTTTAAAAATATTGTTTTTTGGGGATCAGCAGGTGGCGTAATGGCTACGTCACTGGACTCACATGTAGTTGACCACGGTTCGAGTCCTGGACCCAGTGGCTTAAACTCACACCAGGCGCATGTGCATGCATGTCAAGATCCCGAGAGAAGAGGAGAAGGGATTGCGACATGGCCATCCCCGCTGTGGGGTGATTTCTCACTTTCTGTCTCCCTGTCTTTCTGGCAAGTGCATTCTCCCTATAGCAAAAACTTCTAAAAAAAAAAAAAAAAAAGTCTTTTGAGCCAGCCACAGTGGTGCAGTAGTGATTAGGTGCTCTGTAATGTTAGGACCATGTGAGAGAGTGCCAGGTTCATGTCCTGAGGTCTCCTGGTTCATGCTGGGCATGTGTGGGCACCCCCGTGACTCTGCTACCTGCTGAAGTTGGGGGTGGGGGGGGATCACAGTGTCGTGGCCCCTGTTGTGGGTGACTGGCTCTCTTTCAAATGTGCAGAAATAAACTTTAAAAAATTAATTTTTCTTGGGGTCAGTAGGCGGTGTAGTGTTTAAGGTGCTGGACTCCCAGATAGTGACCACGGTTCAAGTCCTAGACCTGGTGACTTGCTTTCTCACTTTCCCTCTCTCTCTGTCTCTCTGGTCAAATTAAATAAAAATAATAAATAAAAATTAAATGAAAATAATTCTTTTAAAGATTAATTCTTAAGAAAAGCAGTATGTTGTAGAAAATCTGGAAATTAACTAAAAAGCAAAATGAAAAGGAAGTTCCTCATAATTCCACCTCCTTTTTAAAAATAGATACCAGTAACCTTTAAAAGCATATCCTTTCCAACTTTTTGGAGCGATAGAAATATTCATGTCTTGATTACATGACTACATATCTTTGTAAAAATGTATTGAGCTGTACACTTTTAAGGGGTGAACTTATTGTGTGTAAATTATACCTTAATAAAGATGATTTTAAAACACACACACACAAAAAATACATATTCTTCCAATATTCTTTTTCATCATTTATGCATCTTTCTTTTAAAAAATGGACATGAAATGCATGTTATATCCCCTTTTCCCCATTCATCATAAACATATCCCACAATTACTCTGCCTTTCTATTGGGTTGTCGAAAAAATCATGACACATTTTTTGCATAGAAACGGAATAAATACACCTGAAATAAGCCAGACTATGAAAAAGTTACATCCCAATATTTTCCAGTGACCCAATAATTGTCCATGCCCATGAATTAGTATTTATCAATCACTATTGTGTTGAACATTTAGGTTATTTCTAGTTTTTATGTTATAATAAAGCCCTAAGTATCATTGTTTTGTATTGCCTTAGGAGATTCCTAAAGCCAAATTGGTCAAAACTATGAATACTTTTGAAGCTCTTTAAATTGCCAAATAACCACTAAGCTACCAGCTGGCTCCTAACAATGACTTTCAAAGCAGCTAGAATAGTATCTGATACACACTATATAATTTAAATATCAGTTGGTACTGTTATTGTAAACTATTGACATAAAGAAGTACTTCAAACTTAAGCCTTTTTTTTTTTTTTTTTTGAGAGGTTTTTGCTATAGGGCGCGTGCGCTCGCCAGACAGACAGACAGAGACAGAGACAGACAGTGAGAAATCACCCCCTCCCAGGGGGGATGGTCACGCCGCAATCCCTTCTCCTCCATTCTCCTCTCGGGATCTTGGGCACGCACGCACATGTGCCCGGCATGAGTTTTAAGCCACCGGGTCCGAGACACGAACCACCGTCAACTACGTCGGAGTCCAGCGACGTAGCCATTACGCTAACTGCTGGTTCCCAAACTTAAGCCTTTTTCTCACAAAAAAACTAACACGTTTTCTGGACTAAGGTCAGTTTTTCGAATTACGGTGAACTGTATAGTCTGTAGAGCAGCAGAAAACACTCACATCTCTGTTCCTGCCTTGGCTTTACCACTAACCAGCTGTGGGACTTCGGCAAGTCCCTGGTCCCTCAGAGCTCAGCATCCTTCTATTTTAAATGTGGGGGGCTGGATTACAGGGTTTCCAAGGTCTTCCTCACCTCTGACATTCTGAATCTAGCCTTCTGGGACTATCTGCAGGCCAATCCACTGTACCAAGGTTAACTGTAGGTCTGTAAAGATGTAAGGTCTATTTAATGAGACCTTGTGCTTCTTCTGTGTGAAGAGGTGAAAATAAATCTTTTGCCAGAGGATGAATATCCTGCTTGAGTCCCCCGCTCTGCTGCCCACTATGTGTCATCTCAGGCAAGCTATTTAACCTCAAGAAGACTGTCCTCGCTTGGGGAAAAAATTAGCTTTATATAAGTAGGTGCCAATAATGTCAACCTATCTTCTTCCCTTGCATCACTGAACTTTTTTCTCTCTCTCCACTTGTTTGCTCAGCCTTTTATCTTGCACATTTGAGAGTAACCATGCGATTCTGAAGTCTAAAATAATTAATATAATCTTACCATAAAGTACAAACCTATTCCCATCTCCTTTGAGGAAATGAATTTTGAAATATAATATAGTTAGAACTAAGGAAATACTAACCAAGAAGGCAGCTTAATGCCAAATTGGGCTCCAGGATTCTCTTAAAAGTCAGGGGAAAGATTTATAAGGGTCTAAATATAGGCAGGATGGAGAACTGTATACAGGGCATCAACTAAAATTTATAATTCTCTTTGTGTAATAGTTAAAATGGGAGATGGGGGAGCCAGCAGGTGGCATGGACTGACCATGGTTCAAGTCCCAGACCTGGCAGTTTGCTTTCTCACGTGTTCTCTCTCTCTGGTCAAATTAAAATAAGTAAACAAATAAAGTTAAATAAAGTAATTCTTTAAAAAAAAAAAAAAAAAAGGGAGGTGGGGAGACTGAAAGTATCCTAGGTTCTTCTTCCTTTTTTCTTTCTTTAAAGAATTCTTAAAGGCGGGACCAGCAGTTAGCATAGTGGCTATGTCACTGGACTCCCACGCAGTTGACCGCGGTTCGAGTCCTGGACCTGGTGGCTTAAACTCACACCGGGTACATGTGCGTGCATGCCCAAGATCCCGAGAGGAGAATGGAGGAGAAGGGATTGCGGCGTGGCCATCCCCCCTGGTGGGTGATTTCCTGCTTTCTGTCTCTGTCTGTCTGGCGAGCGCACACGCCCTATATAGCAAAATCCTCTCCAAAAAATAAAACTCTTAAAGGAAAGTTACCATATAAAGACAAGATATTTATCTGGCTCCTTTACAACAAAATAAAAGGGTTAAAAAATTAGGTAATAATATCCTTATTAATTCTTAACATCAAGAGAGTTCTCAGTCTATCTAAATATACTGGAAACACATTAAAAATGTTTGGAAATGGGACTAGCAGCTGGTGTAATGGCTGGGTCACTGGACTCCTATGTAGTCAACTGTGGTTCGAGTCCTGGACCTGGTGGCTTAAACTCACACTGGGTGCATGTGCATGTGTGCCTAAGATCCCGAGAGGAGAATGGAGAAGGGGTTGCAGAGTGGCCATGCCCCCTGGGGGGTGATTTCTCACTTTCTGTCTCTCTGTCTTTCTGGCAAGCACATCTGCCCAATAGCGAAAACCTCTCCCCCCACCCCCCCAAAAAAAAAAGTTTGGAAATAACAAGTAAAAACAGGCACACATTTTCTTCAAGTATATAATTTGTTTTATTTACAATACCCTATAAAAATGTAAATTTAGAAACTTTTATTTTCATTAATTAGAACCGAACAAAAAAGATAAAGCACAGTAAGGAAGAAATAATATCAAGTGTTCACTTGATCGGTTGTGAAGGAAAGGCAGGACAGCTGCAGAGTGGAGATAGTAAGTGATGGTGGAGGGAAGCTAGGCCATGGTCACTGGGACAGCTGGTAGAGCCTGGGGCTACCAAATGGGAAGATACGGAGATGGAGAACACGGACAGCTGGTTATAACGGAGGATTTTACTGTTGTACAATACATGTATGTGCAAAATGTTCATTCTCTTTAAATATCATAATCTGTCTCCCCATTTTTCCCCAACTACATTCGAAAAGGTGAGAACAGCAGAAAGTAGATCAGGACGGTAACATAAAATTAATTCAGATTTAACTTCCTTCACGACTGGAATCACTAGGGATCAAAGCCCCTGATCTCGGTAGATAGCTGAATGGGAAAAGGGTAAGTGAGAAAGATAACAGTATGCTGTCCCTGCTGGAATTCAAATCCAGGCCCCTGGCTGCCTGGGAATGGGGCCTGTGTGAGATGAAGTAGCAGGGACTGTGGTATGGAGGTGACTAAAGAGCAGAGCAGGCCAAACACTTAGCTTCCATGGCTACACCAAATAAATTCAGGGAGAGAGAAGTAAAAGCATGGCTTACTGAAGTAGTTTCAGGAAGACAGGGCGAGTGTGCTAAAAGCTACACTGCAGAAGCAGGCTGTAAGTGAGGATCATCCTGGGTGGTCCTGAATGCACTTGAAGACAGGCTCAAGTACGCTATAGCTGTAGCAGGAAAAAGGCATAACCGTGTGCTGTTTCCATTAAAGTGAACAGAAACAAAGGAAATACAGGTGGGGAGAAGAAAAAGGAACTTCTCGGCCTAGAGCTGGGCATCAGCCAATTAAAGAGTTCCGATTTCATTAGATGCGCTGCATACCCTGTATTTATATTAAAACAAATAGGGCCCACCGAATTAATTATAAGATGGAATAGAAACAGACTAAAATACATCAGCTGGTTTGTGTTTAGAGGAGGCATGTGTCAACTAATGATTTTTTAATGTAAAACTTGCCTATTAAGGACCCTCTGGAGATCACATAAATGTATGTATATAAGTGTGGGTGTGTATAAACATCTCTATATCTTGACTTCTACTTAATTTGCTCTCCTACAGTCATATTAATACGGGGCAATGAAAAATTTCAATAGGATAAGGGAAGGAATCCTTTGGTAGGCTACAATCTACTCTGACCTGGAGTGGTGGTGGTGGAACAAAGGGCAAGATTATATTTGTGTCCCTAGGGCAAAGAAAATGCAAAATTGCGAAGAATTGAGTAAAAGTAGGACATGCAGAATTGTAACATAGAAGGTAAAGAAGAAACCAGCAGAAGTGTCACCCAGCCAAATTTCACAGAGCAGTAGGGAAATACCTGGCATTTAGAGACAACTCCTGTGAACAGGAATTGATCACACAAGGCTTTGCTTTGGGGAATAAGCTACCTTCCCTCCCTCATTAAAAACACTCCATTGGTGATGGCAGCAGTGCAGGTGGCAGCCAACAGGAGGTACAGGACACATTTGGAGATCTTTTATCGTATCCCCTGAACTAGCCTAAGGGTACAAAGAGAAAGAGAGAAAGGAAACTTGTTTGTATAAATGAGGTAAAACAGAAGGCAAGCTTTTGTATTAAAGTTACATCCTTGTAATAATTCTTATCACAAAACACCCAAGATGTTTTCCCACCCTTAGCATTAAGTCAGCTTCTATGACAGCACTGTCACACCCAGTACAGTAGATACACACATATTTAATGAAAGTCTTTCATCTCTTCTACATCCAATTTTATCCTTTTCATCCTAATCATAATGTCTAAAGTGCCAACTGGAGTGAAATGTGGAGCTCTCCTGTTTCACACTTACTGCAGTTTTGTCTCCAGCAAGTTCAGTTTCTGCCGGTCGACATAGCGGGAAAAGAGGGACACTAGGTTGGTGGGTATAGAGACTGGCTTGGCCAGGGCTGCTTGCGGAATCCGTAGAAGTTCTCGGGTTGCCATGAACATCACCTCTGTCCTGATAGGAAAAATCCATGATAACAGTATGAAAAAAAAAAAACCGAAACAAACAAAAAATGAAAGATAAAAAATTACCTAAAAGAACTTAAAGAAATCCAGTCCATACTGACCACTGGTTATTTTGTGTTGATTCTGGAGCAGGGTCTGAGCTCTGTAAGTCTTCTCCGCGGCTCAGGAGGAGGAGGAGCAGTGACAGGCCGAACTACAAGAGACAGGGAATCACGCTTTGCACTACAACCACACCCGCTACCACTGTTCTGGGGTCCTGAGTATTAGATGGGAACTAGCACTAAATCCAAACAGGGCTGCACTTTCTGTGAAGCCAGTAATCGACCAGACAAGCGTGAGCCAAGAGACTGTCTCTGCTTGCCAGGTGTTACTTCTGGCACAGCAATACCAAGTGCAACCACTGAAAATAAAGACATGGTGCCCCCTGGTCCTCTTTTTCCTGTCCTGAGGTGAAAAGATGATTTCTCTTCACAAAGGATGATGTGGATTTTGGCTTTTCTCATGTTTACAAGAACCAAAATGAATTAAAAAGGAAAGTCAAATTTAGACAAACTTCAAAAAATTAAAGTTCATGGAAAAAATAAGAAAAGAACATTAAACAGAGTTAGATATTTTGATTTTTTAAATTTTTTTTAAAGTTTTGCTACAGGGCATGTGCCCTCACTGGAGAAAGAGAGGGAGGGAGGGAAAATGAGATGTCACCTCTTCCCAGGGGGGTTGGCCATGCCACAATTCCTTCTCCTTTTGGGATATGGGGCACGCACATGCATGCACATGCACCTAGCATTTTTTTTTTAAAAGAGGTTATTGTCTTAGGGTGTGCTCACCAGAGTCAGAGATAAACAGACGCAGTGAGAGAGAAAGTGAAAAATTACCTCCCCAGGGGGGATGGCCACACCTCAATTCCTTCTCTACTCTCCTAGGATCCTGGGCATGCACGCACATGCACCTGGTGTGATTTTCAAGTCACGAGGTTCAGGACTCTCTCACCATGGTTGGTCATGTGGGAGTCCAGCAATGTAACCACTACGCCATCTGCTGGCCCTCACATAGCCTATTTTTCAAGCCTTTGGATCCAGGCCTTGAACCGCACAGTTAGCCAGGTGGGATCCAGCCACTTTATCCTCCCCACAACCTGACTGGTCCAAATATTTTGAATTTTCAAAAAAGTGTTAAGGGAGCCAGTAGGTGGCATAGTGGTTAAAGGTGCTAGATTCCCACATGGCTGATCACAATTCATGTCACAGACCTGGCAGCTTGCTTTCTTCTTTTCCCTTTCTCTCTCTCTCTCTGGTCAGATTAAACAATAATAACAAATGGAATTAAATAAATAAATAAATCTTTTTTTTTTTTTTTTTTAAAAAAAAAAATGTTGAGAACTACAAAAGGTCACCACCCACCACCACCACTTAAAAAAAAAAAAAAAAAAACAACCACAAGAGGGGGACCAGCAGACGGCGTAATGGCTATGTCACTGGACTCCCATGTAGTTGACCGTGGTTTGAGCCTTTGACCTGGTGGCTTGAAACTCATGCTGGGTGTGTGTGCACGTGTTTCCAAAATCCTGAGAGGAGATTGGAGGAGAGGAGATTGTGGCATGGCCATCCCCCACAGGGGGTGATGTCTCGTTTTTTTGTCTCTCTGTCTCTCGTAAGCACATGTGCCCTAAAATTAATAATAATATTCTGTAGGAAAATGTATAGAGGAATAACTCAAATTATGAGAGTATGAAGAGAAACTTTTTTTTTTTTGAGAGAGGTTTTCGCTATAGGGCGTGTGCGCTCGCCAGACAGACAGAGAGAGACAGAGAGACAGAAAGGAGGAACCTCCCCCCCGGGGGGATGGTCATGCCACAATCCCTTCTCCATTCTCCTCTGGGGATCTTGGGCACGCATGCACACGCGCCCGGTGTGAGTTTTAAGCCACCGGGTCCAGGATGCGAACCGCGGTCAACTACGTGAGCGTCCAGTGACATAGCCATTACACTAACTGCTGGTTCCTGAGAAAATTTTCTTAAAAAACGGTAATTGGAAACATAAAAGTTTAGAGAGGATATCAACAATCAAAAATATAAAGAGAGAAAATATACGTAGATGTATTCACCATATCCAGTATTATTAAAATTCAGCAACATGCTTTAGAGACTGATGTATATAAAAGTGTATTTTATTTAATGGACAGTAAAAGCAGGAAGCATAGTCTAGAGAGATATGGAGTGAAACTGTGCATAAGAATAAGCAGCACTGGGTAAACATGAATTATATCTATATAATGGATCATAAAGGTAAGCTGGTAATATTTTGAGATTTCATCTCAAGTTTCCAAGTTCAACTCACAGAGGTTACCTTGCCTTTCCACATAATTTCTCTTCATGTTATTGCCAAAAAAAAAAAAAAAAAACAGCACTAGGCTATACAATCCTCTCTGACCTTATGACTTTCTACTGCTTTCACCAAAATTAAAACTAAGAGGCTAAACAACAGAAGGCACATCACCGATCACCCTAAGACGCCATCTTATTTCCCATGAGGCACAGCCACCTTTTCATTCTGATGGACTGTTCTTCAGAGTCACACTTTGGTGGGTTTTCAGGTGCAAGAGAGTCTTGAGACTGCTTTTTCACCTCCACTGAGCACATACACCTACTAAGTACCTGACATTATACTGAGCTGTCTACCGAGGCAACTCTGTGACTCTATGACATCACCTCCATGTTATAGATCTGGAGACTGGCTCAGCAAAGTGAAAAAATAATCTGCCCAGGATCACAAAACTGGAAAGTAGCAGGCAAGGACTGGACTGAAACCCCTTCTGTCTAATCTGGCACTGTGGTTCCTGAATGAAAACGGTGGCCAGTGGTGTCTGGACCTACACCATCACTTTGGCTGTCACAGTAATGTCTGCTATCAGAAGACTGAGGAATGGAAAGACTAGTAGAAGCTCCACAGACATTTGGAATATCACTAGCCTATAATAAATGGGTTAATTTATGTAACAAAATCACCTTGGTTTGGTGTTAATTGTATCAGACATTCTTATTTACACTGTAAATATTGCTTTTTCAAGAGACTTGGAAATTTAAAAGTTCTTCAATTAATAGTTTGAAAAAAAACAACAACAAAAAAACAACTCATGTTCTTTCCTCCACATTAGCTTCCCTTTGTAGTCTCTGGATCTTTAATTTGATGTGAATGAATATGAAATGAAGGATTCCATTATTTATAGTCTTATGACACATGGCTACTTGCCTACCTAATATGCCTGTATCCTCATTACCAGAATTCTGATTTTATTTGTGGTGACAACAGAGAGAACTAGAGGTTATTTTCAAGGTTTCCCTGCAGTTAGGTGTGATAACATCCAGGCCATAGATAAAGGAAGTTGTTGACTGTAACTCCTAGAAAATGTCTCAACAAGGACAGCCACTCAGCACCTTTCTGTCCTTTCCACCCACCTCTTTCTGATGTAAAGCAAAGTCTTAAGTTCCACAACCATCCCTGACATGAGAGAGCACGAACATGGAAATTACTGCTAAGGATGGCAGAAAAGAAAAATTGAAGGACCTTCCATCTCAAATGCACTGGGAAACTACTAAAATCTTATCCTATTGAAACCACTATTATTACCAGTTCTGTTACCAGCAGCTTAACATGATTCCCAGTTCAAAGAAGCCTTTTCTAGAAGTTGCCATAGCCACAGCGGACATTATTTTTAACTAAAATGTAGACGCTTCACAAAGTCTAGGACACAAAAGGGCAAGACCACCTTGTTCTGTAGCACAGCAGTGAGGTGAGGATTGGAGGGTGCTGGTGCAGTTGCACTTTGAGGTAGGTTCATTAGCTGTTGCAGAAGGCTGGTGACAGTCACTGATGGAAGATGATACAGGAGGAGAGAGAAGGGACTCAATAAGCATGGCAGCACCTACAAAAGATAAATCAAAGCATTACATCCCGGCAACTGTTACTCCAGTTACCCTCCATCATTGGGCGGGGTGGAAGGACGCTCAGCTGTATACACAATTACTTAAGGCAAGATTAAGAAGAAAGAGTGACAAGTCTAGTAGATGTCCAGAGTCCTTTTATTTGAGAGATTTTTGTTATAGGACACACGTGCTTGTCAGAGAGACAGAGACAGAAAGCAAGAAATCACCCCCAGTTGTGTATACTGCAATCTCTTCTCTCCTATTCTCTTTTTGAGATTTTGGGCATGCATGCATGCGGGCCCAACGTGAGTTTCAAGTCACCAGGTTCTAAACTCGAACCACAGTCACCACGTGGGAGTCCAGTGCCTTAACCATTATGCCACCTGCTGGCACCTAGTGTCCTTTTCTTTTTAAATTTGTATTCAAAATAGTATGCGTGTGGTGAGGATTGGAAGAAAAAGAGAGTGCAAGAGGAAGGGAGGGACATCCTCGAGAGGGTCTCATCATGCCACGATCTCCTTCCTGTAACCCTTCATCTTGGCACCCAGCCTGTCTCAGGTCAAGAAGGACAGAGATCCAAACTGCAATCAGCCATGAGTATCTTCTGGCACTGCAGTCCAGCACAGCACTGACTACACTAGAGGCTGGGCCACGACTAGAGTTCTAACATGGTATCCCCTGATAACTTTCTCATCTCAGTTTGCACTGGAAACACCATGGCTAGTATGAGCCTAGAGGGTAAAACAACTTCTCAAATACATACCAAGACTAATGCTAACACATAAATATTTAACACATTCTGCAAATATTTACATGTCCACAATGTGCCAAGCACCATGGGCTAAAACAAATGAAAAGCAGGACACAGACCCTGAAGGACCTAAAAGTAAAGTGGGGAAGACACAGATAATTGGCAATTTCAACACACCGTGAGAAGCACTCTTAAGACAGGTTAAGTTTAGAGTGCTACAGAATTACTATGAAATATTTTCAGACTTATCTTGCTTTATCTTTATAAAAGCTCAGTGAGGAATTGGAAAAATAATTAACCAGTTTTTTACAGATTAGAGAAGCAAAATGATCAGAAACTCAGTGTTCAGTTATATAGCTAGCAGCAAAGAATCAGAGCTCAAGGCTGATGGGTTCCTTTCTTTCTACAATGCAGCTTAGATTGGAAAGTAAAGTACAGAGCTACTCCTCTAACTAGGCTGTACAACATCAAAGGACATCAAGAATGCCTCCAGGGACTCAATGCCCACAGTATAAAAACCGATCTTTTTAATTTTAAATGGCATCCAAAAATGCCACTGTGGTCTACTCTCAATAAACAAAGCTTCTATTATGGACATTTTAAAAGATACACAAAAGTACAAAGAACAGTTGAAAATAGTTTATGTACCCACCACCCCCCACCAACAACCATTACCAACACTTTGTTAATCTTATTAAACATGTGTTCTTCTGTATCATACCAGTTCATTCAAAATACTTCAGTTTGTATCTCTAACAAAATTGTCCCCACAATCTCACCCAACATAAAAAAATTATACACACACACACATATATATATAGATAGGCATAAAGATATATATATATATATATGTGTGTGTATATATATATATATAAATACATATAAAACATAGTAAAAAAATTTTTTTAATTTAAATGGATTTTTGCTATAGGGTGCATGTGCTCACCGGGGAGAAAGAGAGACAGAAAATGAGAAATCACCCCCTAAGGGGATGGCCATGTTGTAACCTCTTCTCCTCCATTCTCCTTGTGGGATTTTGGGCATGTATGCACATGCGCTTGGCATTGAGTTTAAAGCTGCCAGGTCTGGTACTCAAATGTGGGAGTCCAACAATATAACCATTACACCATCTGCTGGTTCCTAATATAATTTTTTTTAAAAAAAAATTTATTTATTTAATTCCATTAGTTATTTTTAAAAATTTGATTAGAGAGAAAGAAGGGAAAGTGAGAAAGCAAACCTCCATGTCCGATCCATGGTCGGCCATGTGGGAATCCAGCACCCTTATCCAACGCACCACCCCCTGGCCCTTCCTAATCTCATTCTTAATATCTATTCCAAATTCAAATATCTCCAATTGTCTCAAAAATATTTTACCATTTGATTTGTTCTAATTATGATGAGCCCCTTGAAAATCTGTACTAGGTGACTTGCCACGCCTATCTCCTTTTCGCATGTCGCTTATTATTTGAAGAACCTGGCTCATTTGTCCCATAGTTGTGATTGGGCTAACTGTATTGCTGTGGTGTCACCAGGTTCTGCTAGCCTCTGCTATTCCTATAGATTGACAGTCAAAATAACTGGTTTGACTAGATTCAGGATTAACAGAGGGGAGTGGGAATTGGGGAATAACCACAAAATTACATGGATAGAGCTGGGTGTTCTATATTATGTCAAGAATTACATCATGGGACCAATAGATGGTGAAACTGTTATGTCACTGGACCACTACATGGCCTACTGCAGTTTGAATCCTGGACCTGGGGGCTTGAAACTCATGCAGGGCACACGTGCCTGCATCCCAAGATCCCGAGAGGAGAATGGAGGTGAAGGGATCATGGATGGCATAGCTATCCACCTAGGGAGGTGATTTCTCGCTTTTTGTCTCTCTCTCTCCAGCAACTGCACATGCCCTATAGCAACAATTTCTTCAAAAACAAACAAAAAAAATCACATTGTGCTTAGTTGTGCCATTCTTAGTGGTGTTGAGTACGTTAGTGGATGCACTCAATATTAGTAGGTATTGTCAGCATGCTCCAACCATTGTAGAGTTCCCAAGTTTATCTCTTAACCATTTACACTGGTTTAAAAGAATAGCATAAGCTTCTGCCCATCTACTTTAAAAAAAAATTATTGAATTTACTACTATTATCATTATTTTTAAATTTATTATAGAGCATATGTACTTACCAGAGAAAGGCACAGTGAGAGAGAGAAAGAGAGAAAGCAAGCCACCAGGTCTAGGACTGGAAATGCAGTAGGCCTTGTTGGAGTTCAGTGCCTTAACCACCACACCACCTGTCGGCCTCTGCCCATCCACTTTTTAGCTAATGTACTTACCAGCCAGTGATGACTGCTGTCCAGACTGATTGCTTTTCCATTAAGGCTCACGAAATTACTATTTTGTAATCTTAGCATTTCTTTGTTAACATTTTTTAATGAAGAATTCTGTATTATACTATACTCTATGGTCATAATGGGAATGCACGGGGAACCAGCAGTTAGCGTGATGGCTATGTCGCTGGACTCCCACATAGTCGACCGCGGTTCATGTCCCGGACCTGGTGGCTTAAAACTCACGCCGGGCGCGAGTGCGTGCGTGCCCAAGATCCTGAGGAGGAGAATGGAGGAGAAGGGATTGCAGAGTGACCATCCCCCCTGGGGGGTGATTTCTCGCTTTCTGTCTCTATGTCTCTGTCTGTCTGGCGAGTGCACATGCCCTATAGTGAAAATCTCTCCCCCCACCCCCCCAAAAAAAGGAATGCACGATAAACACGTGATTCTTTTCCTTTCCTTTTTTTTTTTTTAAAGAGAGATTTTTGGTATAGGGCATATGCATTTGTCAGAGAGACAGAAAGCGAGAATCACCCCCCAGGGTCATGGCCATGCCACAATCCCTTCTCCTCTATTCTACTCTTGGGATTTTGGGCACACATGCACACACGTCCAGTGTGAGTTTTAAACCACCAGGTCTAGGACTCGAACCATGGTCAACTACGTAGGAGTCCAGCGACTTAACAATTCTGTCATCTGTTGGTCCCTATTTTTCTTTATTTATCAATTTTCAGAATAACGAGTTGCTGACCTAGCAATTTCCAAGATGGTCAATATATTTTTCATATCATTACAAATTCATCAAATTCAATATATTTTATGTATTTCAATCTACTGCTGTAATTTTTCTTCCTGATGCAAATTATCCCACTTTTAACCAACAGAAGTCCTTTCACGATGGCATCCTCATTAGATTTGTTTGTGCACCTTTTTAGACAGGACCCTAGTAATATATGAGCATTTCTGCTTTCTGGCACAATATTCCAAGGTTATCTTTGACATCTCATCCCTCAGACCTGGAGCCAGCTATTTCTCCAAGGAGTATTTAGAGATATGGTCTACTGCTCTTCAATGCATGTAGGTAAAAAGTCTTTATATTTAAGCAGTGAAGTTTTCCTCACTAGCAGGTATGTTCCACAAAAACAAGCTTTTTTTTTTTTATTCTAAGCTCCTTCTACCTAGAATTTGATGGTGTATTTCTAAAATGTAAACTAGTGCCTGGTACATAGAAGTATCCAATAAATATTTGCTGAATGAAAAAAGCTCTTCCAAACTTGCTTCCACTGCAAAGTTTCTGTGAGCATATAATTAGTGAGTGCTCCCTTACTGCCTACAATTTATATGCTCTAAGATAGCTGTAATTTTCAGTTGGCCCTTTTTTTTTTTTTTTTTTAAAAAAAGATAGATTTTTGCTCTCGGGCCCATGTGTTCACCAGACAGAGAGAAAGACAGACAGAAAGAGAGAAATCACCCTCCAGGGAGGATGGCCATGCTGCAATCCCTTCTCCTAAATTCTCTTCTAAGGATTTTGGGTATGCATGCACATGTGCCTGGGATTATTATTAAAAAAATGATGATGATGATAAATAAAAATAAATAACTATACATATATAAAAAAGATTCCAAGAATGAAAACTGGTCAGAGGGAAGTTTCAGGATTTGAGTTTTATTCTAGAAAGTAAAAGACTAGATGGAGGGACCAGCAGATGGCTCATGGTTATATCACTGGACTCCCACAGTGATCTGTGGTGGGAGTCCTGGACCCAGCGGCTTAAAACTCACGCTTGGTGAGTGTGTGTGCATGCCCAAAAGCCCAAGAGAAAAGTAGTGGAAAAGGAACTGCGTTGCAGCCATCCCTCCTGGGGGAGTGATTTCTCACCTGCTATCTCCCTCTGTGTCTGGTGAATACAGGCACCCTACAGCAAAAAAATCTCTCAAAAACAAAAAAGTACCTGTCTCATTCCACTTCATTTTTTTCAATGATAGGAGATTTAAACTTCTCAATCAGTTTTTTCTGCAGATGTTAAAATTTCAAGGGTTGGGTAAGCAGGCAGCATGGAGGTTAAAGTGCAGAATCTCACATGGCTGACTATGATTTCAGTCCTGAATTCTGCGGCTTGAAAAACATGCCAGGCATGTGTGTGTAGTGCCCAAAATCATGAGAGGGGACTGGAGAAGGGGAGTGGGGTGTGGCCATCCCTCTGAGTGGTGATTTCTCACTTTCTCTCACTTTGGTGAGCCCAGACACCCTTTAGCAAAAACTACAAAAAAAGAAAAAAAAAAATCCAGAGGGATTTTCCATTCTTTTCATGGCACACAACTTACAAGGTGTCTGGCTGGCATCATTTGTCTTCTAGGGACTAATTATTCAGGTGGTTATTACTCAATTTGTTGTCTTCTGTAACATGTTCCCTCCCATACATTTTATTACTCTGACACTTATACTCAGTAATACTACTCCTTTGTCTTACTCATCAGTTTCTTGTTTTGAACTTCCTAAGCCTATTCTAAATTTTGCTAATCTTTCAAGTGCTATGAGAGATATAAGCAGAGAAAAACTATAACCAAGAATTAACACTTAGGGGCTAGCGAGTAGCGTGGTGGTTAAGGTACTGGACTTCCGCATGGCCGACCACGGTTCGAAGGCCTGGACCAGTGGGGTAAAAATCAAGTTGGGTACGTGTGTGTGTATGCTCCAAATCCTAGGAAAATGAAGAAGAGACTGCAGTGTGGCCACTCCGCCCCCAAGAGGGTCATTTCTCAATTTCCCTCTCACTATCTCTGTCTCTCTCCAACAAGCACATACATGCCCTATGGCAAAAACCTAAAAAAGAATTAACTTATAAACTGGATAACTGTTTCGAATTCCAGCCAAGTTAAGATCATGATAAACAAATAATTTAAGCACTAGCAAGGCTAGCAAGTGGCATCTGATTAAGGTGGTTACATCTTCGGGCCAGTGAGTGGCATGGAGATCGAAGTGCCGGATTCCTATATGGTCAACTGCAGTTCAAGTCTTGGACCTGGCAGCTTGTTTTCTCTCTCTCTCTCTCTCATGCATATACCCTGTAGCAGATTGAAATAATAATAATAATAATGATAATAAAAATAAATAAAATAAAATAGTTCTTTTGTTTAAGAAAAAAAAAAAGTGACTGGATCTCATATGGCCAATTGTGCAGTGAGGCCCAGATCAGGAGGCTTGAGAAATATGCCAAGTGCATACCCAAAATCCCATGAAGAGAAGGAACTGCAGCATAGCCATTCTCCCAAGAGGGGATTTCTCACCTTCTCTCTTTGTCTCTCCAGCCCTATGGCAAAATTATTAAGAAAAAAGTGGAAGTGGATAGTGCCCAATGGCTTGTAGCAAAAAGACACAAATTGAACTTCTAGAGATGAAACCTATAAGGTATGAGGTAAAAAAAAGAAAAAAAAAAGCACTAGCCCAGGCTGGCCCTGCAGTCTAGTGAGTGAGGGAGTGAGATCCTACATGGCCTACCATGATTCAAATCATGGCCCCAGTGGCTTGAGGAACATGACGAGTATGTGTTTGCATGTGCAAAATAAAGAAATGGAGAAGGGATTTCAATGTGACCACATCCCATGAGTGGAGCAGGTGGGGTGCACACATACCCATGGCAATTAAAAAAAAAAAATTAGTCTGACTCCTGTGGGAGACACTAGTTAGGAAGCCTATAGGGTCTATAGGCTAATGTTAAGCTCCTGACAATGGTCCCATGATTGACAGTCTCGTCTAGAAAAGTAACCATGATCAAAATCTTTAAACTTCAGTAACCATTAGATTCATCTGGGGACTTTGTTACAAAGATTCTTCTTCCTGAGTCTTCAGTAAATTCTGATCCAGTAGTTTGGGGTAGGGCTGAGTTACCTGTCTTGCAAGTAAATTTATTTTTTTCGAAAGAGTAATTTCATTCATTATTGTTATTTTTTTGATTTGACCAGAGAGAGAGAGAGCAAGTTCCCAGGCTCAGGACTAGAACCGTAGTTGGTCATGTGGGAGTCCAGTGCCTTAACCACCACGCCATCTGCCAGCTCCTTCCAAGAAATTTTGATAGAGATCACATCTTCACAATGTGTCAGATAAGGAGTTGGTAGGTGGTGTGGTGGTTAAGGGTGTTGGACACCTACATGGTTGACCACAGTTCTCGTCCTAGTCCCAGACTTGCTGGCTTACTCTCTCTCTCTTTCACTCTGTCTGTCTCTGGTCAAATTAAAATAAATAAATGGATAAAGTTAAATAAAAATAATTCTTTTTTTTTTAAAAAAAGAAAACTATGTTAGGTGAAATGGCATTGTTGTTTCCCTCATGTTTGGAAACATGGTCTTTTCAACCAAACATGAGATTTAAAAATACAGGCCTGAACTGGTCCTGTAGCCTACTGATTAAGGAAGCCAGATCCCATATAGCCTCACCATGGTATGAATCCTGACCCAGAGAGCCTGAAACACACATCGGGCATGTGCATGGGTGCCCAAATCCTGACAGGATAAAGAAATGGAGATGGATTATAGAGTGACATACCCCATAGGGGAGTACTTTCCTCCCTGTCTCTGAAAAGTGCACGTGCCCTCTGACAGTCCAAAATAATTACAAGCTTGAAGTACTGTAAGATTTTGCTTTAAATAATCAATCCCACTGCCAAAGACTAGATCAAAATACACAAAAGGGAACAGAAGAAGTGAAGCTTTGATTCTAGACATCTTATCCACTATGAAGACTCAAAGGGAAGATGCCTCCCATGGTGGATTACCTCATCTTGTGCATCCTTCTTGATAAGGAAAGGGAGATTCCTGGCTGTTGTCATGAGAATGTCAGCTGCTTGCTCTGTGGAGAGGAAAGGAAGGATACGGGCAACCATTCTCTTCCCTTTGCGAATACACATGATCTGTACAAAGTGGTCATCACTTGGCCTGTAAGAAAAGAAAAAATGCCAACTTAGGTCAGCAGAAGCAATGTAAGAATCTTCATTAGTCCCTCTTAGATGTTACAGAACAAATATACTGGATTCATTTTCATGCTACAATTACTTGTTTGAAATCATGAGAACTCTCCAACTAACTCAAACCAAATAAAAAGTAAATTGCCAGGTTTCATAAATGTAGAAAAATCTTTTCACAAATTATATAGTTAAAAACACTTGGTCAAACTACATGTAGCAATTTTCCTTTACTTATCACATGGTTGATACAGCAATATCTCAACAAATATATATGAGAGCACAAAGAAGGTCATTCAAGACCAGCAGGTGGTGGTGTGGTTGGGGCACTGGACTCCCACATGGCCAACAGCACTTTTGAGTCCTTCTTTTCTCTTCTTTCGTCTGTCTCACTCTAATAAAATTAAAAAAATAAAAACAAAAACAAACAAACAAAAAAACCCAATAAATAACAGTTTTGAAAAAGTCATCCAAAATCTCAGGTAATTTTATTAGTGTTACTATTTTCAAAAACATTTGCCATGTATTGTAGTTTTTCTTTCATAAAAAAGAAAATGGTTCCACAGAATTCATAAAAGTTTGTAAGTTGACCTTTTTCACTCAACTTCTAGTGATCACTTTTCTATGTCAATATACTTCAACTATGTACAGTGTAATATCTGTATAACATTCCAACCTAGGGAACCAGCAGTTAGCGTAATGGCTATGTCGCTGGACTCCCACATGGTCGACTGTGGTTCGCATCCTGGACCCAGTGGCTTAAAACCCATGCCGGGCGCGTGTGCATGTGTGCCCAAGATCCCGAGAGAAGAATGGAGAAGGGATTGTGGGATTGTGGTGTGGCCATCCCCTCTGGGGGGTGATTTCTCACTTTCTGTCTTTCTGTCCCTGTCTGTCTGGCAAGTGCACGTGCCCTATAGTGAAAAACCTCTCAAAAAAAAAAAAAAAAATCCAACCTACAGATGGACCATACTTAACCTATCTGTCTTATCAGTTCCAAAAAAGGTGTGTTGAGGGGCCAGCAAATGGCGTGGTGCTGGACTCCCACATGGCCGACCGTGGTTCGATACCTAGACCTGGTGGCTTAAAACTCACACCAGGCTCACGTGCATGTGCGCCTAAACTCTCAGGAGAATAAAGGAGAAGGAACTGCAGCATAGTCATGTCCCCAGGGGGTGATTTCTTACTTTCTGTCTCTCTATCTCTGGCAGATGCATGTGCCCTACAGCAGAAATCTCTTAAAAAAAAGAAAACAGGTGTGTTGAAAAAGTGCTTGTTTTTGTTATTTTGTGTATGTCCTAGTTTAAAAGCAGCAACTATTCCCTTGAATGAGCAAAGAGAAAGGGAGTTATTAGGAGACACAATCCTCTTGAATTCATCAAATAAGCATTTGGGAATTTAAAAGCATTTACCATTAGCAAGATTCTGTTCCACTTAACAGGTATGAAAAAGACAGCAGAGATCCAGAGAAAAGCATGTTAAAGAATTTAGTCTCCACTGAAAAACTGACTAGTCTCCATTGCATATAAATATTCTATGAAAACACTCCAAAGTATATAAAAATATTTACACTTTCCTATCTTAGTAGGAAAATGACATAATAAAAACTACAAGTTTGAACATGCTAGTAACTACGAACCATTTATAATCTGTAAGCTCAAAAGCAAAAACCCATTAATGTTTCCAATGTGTCTCCAGCACCTAGCACAGTCCCTAGTAGATACTGAATATATGTTTGTGGAATAAATCAATTCAAGATAAACAGATTGTGTTGTTGGCTGGATAGATTATATGTTTTAATAGGAAATGGCATTTGAGCTAAGACAAAGGGATAGATTCTGAGAGTAAAGAGATACTAGAAAAGGTACCCCTAGGCAGAACTGTGTAGAGCTAGTTAGGCAGAGGAAGGACTCCAGCCGGTGTCATGTTTTCCTCAAAGTGCAAAATGCTTACCTCTCCTGTCCAGGCAGTTTCCCTCGTAAGTTCTCATACATGCTAACAATTTTGTGCTTTCTTTCATCCATCAAGGCAGGTCGCTCTTCTTCTAGACTTAGGAGATAACGCCTTTCGTAATCCTCCACGTCAAGGAGTAAACTATAAGTCTATAGGAGATACAAAGCAGTCCACACCATACTAGGTCAGGATCACAAAGAACTAGATAAAGAACTCCACAGTTTAGAACCACCAGATAAAAACAAGAGTGAAAACTCGTAAAACTGAAGCTTTTTTGTCTTTTAAAAAAGCAACTTTTTTTTTGTTTTGTTTTTTTGGAGAGGTTTTTGCTATAGGAGGCGTGCGCTCGCCAGACAGACAGACAGAAAGCGAGAAATCACCCCTAGTGGTCCCTAGTCTATGTTGTATGGTATTGCAAAATGGTATTTATGCTTTACAAACTCTCTCTCTCTCTAAAAAATATTATTTCCTTACCATCCAGAATAATACACATACCCAGGGAGTACCTAACAAATATCTGTGAACTGACTTAATTAGTCCACTGAGAGAACAATGTAATTTTTACTCTGAGTTCACCAGACTTAGAAGGGTGACCTGCTCCAAGAAACTCAACTACTGGGACCAGCAGTTGGCATATCACTGGACTCCCACGTAAGTTGACTGAGGTTCGAGTCCCAGACCTGGTGGCTTAAGTTCACACTGGGTGCATGTGCGTGCATGTCCAAGATCCTGAGAGGAGAATGGAGAAGGGATTGTGGCATGGCCATCTCCCACGGGGATGATTTCTCACTTTCTGTCTCTCTCTCTTTCTGGTGAGCGCACACGCCCTGTACCAAAAATCTCTTAAAAAAACAAACAAACAAACAAAACTCAGGACTCCAAGAGAGATATACTACAGTCCTTTTGAGAGTACCCTTGTAAACATTAGACACTTAAAAATATATTCATTAATTAAAATAAAAAACATTTGATTGATTGTTCACTTCTCCCTTCTTATATGTACATACACATACAACAATTCCTTATTTGAAGCTAACTATAGCAACAAATTCTAACTTACTTTCTCAATTATGACAAGGGTTTTTCTTCTCTTATCCCGAACCTGTTTTTCTTTTGTCTCCTAAAAAAATAAGATTATTCGATGTAAATTTTTAATAGTGATTAAGTATAATGCATTTATGATTATACTTTGAAAGGGTATCTTTACTCTCTGAAAGTTAATAATCTAAAATGACACTAGTGTAGACCAAGTTCATAGAGTTGACTGAATCAATCCACACATAAACCATTAAATGGAATTCAAAGATAGGCAAAAGGTTTATGGGCTGTAGTAAGGAAAGAAGATGATAAAATTTTAAAACTCATGGAAAATACCAATGGTTTAAAATAGCAAACTGGAGTAAACAGATGCTATTTATAACAAAAGTTACCTAGCCTAAAGATTCTTGCCACCCTTGACCCTGCCTCGCTGTCTTATTAATAATGAAGGTGTTACTATCTCAACACATCAGCAGAAAACAGAATGCTTTGACATGCCAGGTGGAAAGCTCTAGATTAGACTACAGCAACTATGCCCAATCTAATCTCTTTCCAAAAGAGATGGTGATGACCCTAGATAGTCTTCAAAACATGATTCTGTGGATACTTACATCATCCTCACCCCGAGATGTCACAACAGCATCGATCATTTTTCGGGGATTATTCACACTAGATACGGTAAGTTTTCCCAAAGATCCCTCAAATTGCACTGCAAGGAGAAACAATTTCCAGCAACATAAAAACTCAGCAGTGAAGGCAGGCAGCACACCTAGATCTTTGCTGTTCTTTACTCATAGTCTAATGACTTCCTTCAAGGTTTTATGTATTTAAAGAAATGCCTGGGGCCAGCAGGTGGTATGGTGGTTAAGGTGCTGGACTCTCACTAGGCCGACCATGATTTGAGTCCCGGACCTGGAGACTTGCTTTCCTACTTTCCCTTTCTGTCTGTCTCTGGTCAAATTAAACAATAATGGTGATGATAAAGGAAATAAAATAACTATTTTAATAAATAAAATTTTAAAATGAAGCTATCCCTTACTCTTGCAGCCTCGCTTCCAAGATGACCAAGAAAAGAATGAACAATGGTCATGTCAAAGAGGGCCGTGGCCATAGGCAGCCTGTTCACTGCATGAACTGCACCCGATGCATGTTTTTAAAAAGTTCGTCATCCAAAACATAGCAGAAGCTGCAGTAGTCAGGGACATCTCCAAAGTTACAGTCTTCGATGCCTATGTGCTCCCAAAATGACATATGAAGCTACATTACTATGTGAGTTGTGCCATTCACAGTAAGGCAGTTGGGAACATGTCTTATGAAGCTCAGAAGGACCAGATAACCCCACCCCAATTTAGACCTGTGGGTGCTGCCTCTTGCCCTCCACCAAAACCCAAGTAAGGGGCTGAATCTTCAAGGAATGAAGAACTGTCCTCTGGGGGGAACCAGCAGATGGCATAATGGTTATGTCACTGGACTCCCACATAGTCAACCATGGTTCGAATCCTGGACCTGGTGGCTTAAAACTCACGCCAGCACGTGTGCTCAAAATCCCAAGAGGAGAATGGATTAAGGCATGGCCATTCCCCTGGAGAGTGAGTTCTCACTTTCTCTTTCTCTGTCTCTCGTCTTTCTGGTGAGTTCTCATGCCCTAATAAAAAAAATCCCTCCCCACCCCCCCAAAAAAATAACCCTGTCCTCTGGGAAAAATTAAAACGTAAATTATACATTAAAAAAAATTAAAAAAAGCAATCCCTTATCAAAATATATCCTTTCTCTTTTTTTTTTTTTGTTACAGTAATAGTCAAAATAAAAATCACATTCCCCTTCTCTATTTTAGGGGTATCAAAAATTATAATAGGTATAAAAAAACTATGTTATCTCAGGTACAAAAGTATTCAAAAGACCATCTGTCAAATCATTCCTACCATGCTTGAATAAAGACTGATATTTGTACTTATTAAATACAATGGTACTTTGTTTTATGTTTTAATTTGCCAGAGGAATACCAGAGTCAGGGGTTGGGGGAGAAGTACCCTCCAATGGGGCATGGTCAGGCCTGGTCAGGCCACACTCTCTTCTCGACTTTTCTATCATGTAGGGGTCCGGGGCACATGCACATACCCAGTGGGCTTCTCAAGCCACCAGGGCTGGGATCTGCCCTGTGAGATCAGCCATGTGAGATATAGCCGACTTAATCACTAGGCCTCCAAGTCAGCCAAGATAATGGTACTCTGTAAATAATTTCCAAACATTTCTACCTATCCATCCACATGTAGTTATCTATATTTTATCTCAACAGCAGCTTCTCAAATTTCTCTTATTATTGACTGAAAATGAAAACCTTACCTGGCTTATAGGCATGCTCCAACTTGGCCACCTGAGGGGTGATGAGCTTGGTGCGCTCCTTTTTAGGTCCATCCCCTTGCATTTCTTCAGCAGCTGACAGTTTCTCCAGTTTTTCAAAGTAATTCTATCACGTGAGAAGATGATTTCAGTTGTAACTCAGGCACAGAGTATGGCTGCTCTTCACCACTAAACAATGAACTTACACCAGTAGCAGTAATACAGCTTGCAATCAATGTACTAATCTCCAATTTTTGTTAGATTGGTATAAACTGATCAGAAAATCCCAGCCTTTAAAAAGTGAATCATCGGGAACCAGCAGTTAGCGTAGTGGCTATGTTGCTGGACTCCCACGTAGTCGACCGCGGTTCGTGTCCCGGACCCGGTGGCTTAAAACTCACGCCGGGCGCGTGTGCGTGCATGCCCAAGATCCCGAGAGGAGAATGGAGGAGAAGGGATTGCGGTGTGACCATCCCCCCTGGGGGGTGATTTCTCGCTTTCTGTCTCTATGTCTCTCTCTGTCTGTCTGGCGAGCGCACGCGCCCTACAGTGAAAATCTCTCAAAAAAAAAAAAAAAAAAAAGTGAATCATCAATGGAAATGTCTTTAAAATTAGACCATGAATATTCTTAATTAAAAGATCCATATTATTGATGCCAAAGGGATTTTAAAATGTAGGTAAAGGACCATTTGTATCTAAGAAGTTAAAGGCATATAAGTAAATGTCTTGGTCAATAGCCCAAGAGGTTCTTGAAAAGAGAACAGAATTTCCTCATTGAATTCTGATGTAACAGATATTTAAAAAACTTCCTAGGAAATGCATATTATGGAAAAACTACACATAGATTTCAATTTTTTTTTTTACTTGTACCTTAATTATATTTCCCATGAACTTTTTGAAGTTCTGGTATACCTAAAAACAGTTTTACCAATATTTAATATCACTAACATTTAAATGCACAGCCTCCCTAGTGTATGGGGATATACTGGGTCAAAAACAACAGAGTTATTGACCTGGTAATAAAAATCATCCAGGTAGGGATCAGTGCTTTGTAGCTGCATCATCTGAATTTTAGAAACCCAATCCTTCTCCCGCTGCAACATGAGATTGGCATATGGATCCTTCCGGAGATGGTCTTGACTGCTCCGGTGGCTTCCTCTGTCTCCTGCACCATTGAGATTCCGATGCTGACTGAAAACAAACACACTTCACTCAGTACAAGGAAGCACAGTAATTATGTCTTTTAACCACACAGGAATAAATCAGAGCCCCACAACAAAAACATTCCCCTTTGTTTCTGTTAAAAGAGTGACAAATGGGGCCAGCAAATGGCATAATAGTTATACCACTAGACTCCCACATGGCCGATCATGGTTTGAGTTCCAACCCTGAAGGGCTGAAACTCAGGCCAGGTGTGTGTGTGTGTGTGCATGCCCAAAATTCTGAGAAGAAAAGAGAAGGGATTACGGCATGGCCATCCCCCCTTGGGGGTGATTTCTCACTATTTTTCTGTCTCTCGGGTGAACACACACACTCCACAGCAAAAATTTCTCTTGGAAAAAAAAAAAAGTGAAAAAACAACTGAATCTTAATATAATTAAAGAGGAAAGTAATATGCTATATATGATCAAGGAAATAAAACTAAGAATCTGAGTGCCTTACCATATGGTGATTAATTTTATCTATAGACTTTTGTAATAAGCCCTACAATAATCCTTCAAGGCAGATAGTTTTCTTATCTCTACTTAAGACTGAGGTCAAGAGAGATCAAGTAATTTGTCCAAAGTACATCTGCTGGCAGAATGATAAATTTAAACACAGGCCAAACTGACTTTTTTTTTTTTTTTTTTTAATTTGAGAGAGGACGTATACAGAATGCATTTACTGGAGAGACAGACAGATAGAAAATGAGAAGGCACCCCCCCCCCTACCAAGGAGAATTTTGACACTGCAGTCCCTTCTTCATTTTTCCTTCTTTCAAGATTTTGGCCATACACACAACATCCACTCAGCGTGTTTCTCAAGCTGTCAGGTCTGGGACTCCAACTGCACAGCTGACTACGTGGAATCCAGCTGCCTTAGACACTATGTCACCAGCTGGCCTCTGAATCTAAATAATTTTAACTTGTTAAAAATCATGAAACTTTGGACCACCAGGTGGTGTGGCAGTTGAGGCAGCTGTATTCCATATGGCTGACTCTGCAGTTCAAGTCTCAGACTCAGCAGCATGAAAATCAGGCTAGGCATGTGTGCATGTGTGTCTTGAAGTCTTGGGAGAATAGAGGAGAACGGAGTGTGACATGGCCATCCTCACTGGGGGATGATTTCATATTATATATATATATATATATATAAAGGCAAAAGAAATACATAAAACCTTTTCTTTATTTTAAAGAGGATATGTGTACTCACCAGAGAGAGACAGAGAAAAAGAGAAAGAAAGCACTACCCTGTCCCCCTGACAGGAAAAGTCATATCACAGTCCTTTCTCCATTTCACTCTTTTTTGGGAGTCTGGGCATGCACCCAGTATTTCTCAAGTTGCCACATCTGGGATTTGAACCATGCAGCTGGTCATATGGGACCCAGCTGCCTTAGCCACTGGGTGACAGGGCCAGCCCCATAAAATAAACACAGAGAAAAACCCAGCAGACACTACTAATAAATACCGGCTTTTGTACTACCTAGACTTAATGAAAGTTATGTTAACGTGATACAATGTTACATTTACAGTTGAAGGACTCCCCTTTTGCCACCCCCCCCTAGAACCCAGTTTCCAGTTTTCTTCCTTTACAAAGGAATCACTATTCTGTTGTTGGCATGTATCCCCCTGAAATGTCTTTATGCTTTTATTACTTGTGTGTCCATCTTGAGGTATTACACAGTATTATTTTTGTGCCTTTAGGTTTTTATGTAAGTTGTAATAAACATGTGACTCTGCTCTTTCCTTCTTGATTCAATATCATGCTTTTCATATTCAATCTCCACTGATGACATGGCCAGGAATACATACAGAAAAGTAGAACTGCGAGGATGTGGCATGGCCATATTTTCTACCTTACTACTTACTGTCAGATTCTCTCTCAAGAAGCTGTACATCTCATCCCTGCCAAAAATGACGGTGTTCAGTGCTAGATACATCAAATTTTGCCTGTCTGATGATGTTAATATAGTAATCTGATTTTTATGATATAGGAAAGTTTGAGTATCTTTTCATTTTTATGAGTCACATGGGATTTTCTCTACTGGGAATTGCATATTAATGCTTTTCATCATATAGAAGTTTAATATTTCAAAAGAGACAAGTATACTTACTAATCTTTAAATAATGATTTAATTAAATAACTTATTATTATTTAGCTTGAACAGAGAGAGAAAGGGAAAATGAAAAAGCCAGCCACCAGGTTTGGGACTTGGAACAGCAGTTAGCCATGTGGGAGTACAGCACCTTAACCACCATGCCACCTGAGAGACCGCAAATATACTAATCTTTCTATCGTTTATACTTTTTGTGTCATAGAGCCCATATACATCAATACAACTGTATTACATGCAAAAAACATTCTGGAGTATCTTTTAAAGTGAGAAAGCATCATGACACATACTTACAGAACAATAAAATTGAAGACTGAAAAAAAAAAGTTATGTTTAGCTTCCATATTTTGTACAGGTGAATAAAGAATATAAGTTCTACAAAGGTAGGGGCTTTAAGTGTCTTGAATTATCTATCCAATTTTAGCTGTCATCATTTTTTAATTTGACCAGAGAGAGGAAGACAGATAAAAAGAGAGGGAAAGTGAGAAAGTAAGCGGCTAGGTCTAGAACTCAAACTGCATTTGGCCATATGGGAGAGAGTCCAGCGCCTCAACTACTATGCCACCTGATGGCCTCATGTCTTGTTCTTTTAATCCCCAAACCTACCGTGGTTCTTGTTATATAGCTGGGGACACATATGTTTATTCTGAAACAACAGGGCATGGACGTCATATTTTTTTACACCAAAACAAGCTTGTATTTTAATTCCATTTTCCGTGAACTTTTTGAAGTAACCCTGAATTGCTTTTGCTGTATACCATATGTTTTGGTATTTGCATTTTCATTTATCTCAAGAAAATTTAAAATTATCTTCTTCGGGAACCAGCAGTTAGCGTAATGCCTAGGTCGCTGGACGCCCACATAGTCGACCGCGGTTCGTGTCCTGGACCTGGTGGCTTAAAAGTCACACCAGGCGCATGTGCGTGTGTGCCCAAGATCCCGAGAGGAGAATGGCGGAGAAGAAATTGCGGCGTGACCATCCCCCTGGGGGGTAATTTCTCGTTTTCTGTCTCTATGTCTCTATCTGTCTGGCGAGTGCACGCACCCTATAGCAAAAACCTCTCCAAAATAAATACATAAATAAATGAAAATAAAATAATCTTCTTCATTTGCTCACTGACCTAGTAGTCACTAAAAACATGCTATTTATGGGACCAGGAGATGGTGAAATGGTTACATCACTGGAATCACAAGTAGTCAACCATAGTTCGAGTCCCAGATCTGAAAGCTAAAACTCATGCTGGGTACATGTGTGTGTGTGTGCCCAGTATGAGAATGGATTGTGCTGTGGCCATTCCCCCTTGAGGGGGTGATTTCTCACTTTCTGTCTCTCTGTCTCTCCGGAAAGTGCACGTGCCATATAGGAAAAATCTCTTAAAAAAAAAGAATGATGTTTAGTTCCCATGCTCCAGGAATAAGGTATGTGTGTTTGAAACTTTAAGAAGGTAATGGAGGAGTTGGTAGATAGCATGGTGGTTGGGGCGCTGGACTCCCACATCATCAACCATGGTTTGTGTCCTGAAGCTAGTGACTTGCTTTCTCACTATCCTTCTCTCCATCTCTCTCTGGTCAAATTGAATAATAAAAAATAAAATTAAATAAATAAATAATTCTTTAAAAAAGGGAAAGTAATGAAAAACATGTACTATGAAGAAACTATGCATGGATATCAAAACTTTTTTTACGCTAAAATAAACCCATACTTTAACTCCACTTTTCCATGAACTTTTTAAGGTCCCCATGTGTTTGCTGGATGAAAATTAAGTAATTAGAAGCAAAAATAATAACCATTGATGGAGGCAAGGAAACATAGCCTTCTTGAAGACAACTTCATAGCTCCTGAGAACTAGCCATTTCAGGGGAAACAGATGAATGAAGATTTTCCACTGATAATTCAGCCTCGAGCACACAAACTCGCGTGGTAGGAAGAATCCTTTCAAGCCTCCTGTCTTGGTATCTGCTGTCTTTTTCTCACTCTACCTGTTTCTTTTTCTCTCTCTCTCTCTCTTTTTTTTTTTTTTGGAGAGGTTTTCACTATAGGGCGCGTGCACTCGCCAGACAGACAGAGAGAGACATAGAGACAGAAAGCAAGAAATCACCCCCTAGGGGGGATGGTCACGCCACAATCCCTTCTTCTCCATTCTCCTCTCAGGATCTTGGGCACGCACGCATACCGCCCAGTGTGAGTTTTAAGCCACAGGGTCCAGGACGCAAACCGCGGTCGACTACGTGGGAGTCCAGCGACATAGCCATTATGCCAATTGCTGGTTCCCTCACTCTACCTGTTTCTGTCTTCTCATGTTTTTTTGTAATTTTTCCTTTTTTAAAAAAAATATTTTTTTGAGAGGTTTTTTGCTATAGGGCGCGTGCACTCACCAGAAGGACAGAGAGAGACTGAGATATAGAAAGCGAGAAATCACCCCCCGGGGGGAAAGCCATGCCGCAATCCCTTCTCCTCCATTCTCCTCTCGGGATCTTGGACACGCACGCACACGCGCCCAGCGTGAGTTTAAACCACCAGGTTCAGGACTCGAACTGCGGTTGAGTACATGGGAGTCCGGCGACATAGCCATTACACTAACTGCTGGTCCCACCTTTTTAAAATTTTTTAAGGCAAAGCTTTTTATTAAATTTTTTTTAGTTTTTTCTCTTAGTTTTTTCTTCTCTTTTTCTAATTCTTATTTTTGTTGTTGTTGTTGTTACTGTTATTTCTCTCTGTTTCCTTTTCTGCACTCTCCTCAACTTCTCAGATTGAACTTCCAGTTTGGGAAGAAACACACCATCCATCAGATGACTAGAAATCACCACAGAGCCAGAAGAAACATGGGAAAGCCAGAAAATACCTCTCCTCCAAGGGAAAAGAATAGCTCCTCTTTATCCACAGACAGTTCAATGGAAATGTCTGATAAAGAATTTAGATCATTCATAATGGCGAAGCTAACAGAGATGGAAGAGAAGAGATAAAATGAACTGCAGAAGAGGGAGGAGAAAGGAGCTGACGAGTTCCAGGAGGTGAGGAAAATTCATGAAAGATCTAGAAGAAGAATTACACACTTTACAAAAGAATCAGATGGAACTGTTCGAGATGAAGACTATAATACAGGAAGTCAAAATCTCCCTTGAAAGTATTAAAAGCAGACTAGATCATACAGAAAATAGAATCTCAGATGTAGAAGAGAAAAAATGCTGGCCTAGAAAAATCCACCACGAAGACTGAGAAAATTGCCCCAAAATTTGAGAATGATATACGAGAAATACTAGATACCATCAAATGTCCAAACATCTGGATAATAGGCATCCCAGAAGGTGAAGAGACTCATAAGGGCATTGATAACCTATTCCATGAAATCCTGCAAGAAAACTTTCCAAACCTAGAGAAGCACTCAAGGATTCAGTCCCAAGAAATACAAAGGACCCCAAATAGAATCACCCAAGAAGACCTTCTCCAAGATTATAGCCAGACTGACCAAAACCATAGACAAAGACAAGATATTAAGATTGGCAAGAGAAAAATGGCAAGTTACCTACAAAGGATATCCCATCAGACTAACAGCGGATCTCTCACAGGAAATAATGTGAGAAAGGACAAAATAGGAAAATATTTTCAAAGTGTTAAGGGAAAAGCAATTTCAACCAATAATACTGTACCTGGCAAGATTATCCTTCATATGGGAAGAAAAGACAAGAACATTCTCAGATAAACAAAACTTGAAAGAATTTACCAGCACCAGACCAGATCTTCAAGAAGTTCTTAAGGGAGTGCTATGTCAGTAAAATTAAATGCAGACACACAGAAATAAGAGTTCAAAAACTAAGAAAATGGGCGACTTAATTGTAGGGACAAGTCTGGAATTAAATATTATATCCCCGAATTCAATAGGGAAGATCGAACTGCAATAGATGATAAAGTACATGAGACTGAACTGGTGAAATAGGATTCTGTGACTTGACAGAATATTGCTGCTTTTCTTCTAAGCTTTGTTATCCAGTTTTAAGGATTTTTGTCTTGTCTTGAGCTGTCAATACGTTCATGTACCTATTATCTGAACTGAATACTAACCTGTTTCTAGGTTTTAAGTTTCAAGGAAATTTCCTTATCAGTTCAAAACTGCTTTTCTTGAAATTACCAGCTGAACTTGTTATTTAAAGTAGTTAGATTACTGGGGCCAGCAAGTGGCATGGTGGTTAAAGGTGCTGGACTCCCACATGGCCGACCACGGTTCAAGTCTCAGACCTGGTGGCTTGCTTTCTCACTTCCTCTCTCTCTCTCTGTCTCTCTCTGATCAAACTGGAAAATAATAATGATAATAATAATAAATAAAGTTAAATAAAATAATTCTTTAAAAAAATAGATTACTTACGAAATTGTGTGATCAACAAAATGTGGAGGGGAAAGGGATTGAAGAGAACTATGAACATCAGAGATAGTGTGAGAAGAGGGTGGGAAAAGGCAGATATGGGGTAAAAAAATAAAATAAAATAATATATATATATAGTTTCATATATATATATGTAAATATATATATATGAAGCTAGAAATGGAAAATTATTGATAACATGCATGATTAAGCCACTATGTAGTTTATTCTAGATGGAAAACCACATTTGGTATGTTGTGACAATGCTTAGGGGATGAATGTAAATTAATTAATTAAATAAAAAGTTTCAGGAGGGAAAAAATACCCACAAAAACTGTTTTTATCGAAATTTAAAAAAAATGAGTATTTGATGATTACAGTAAACTATATAGCCCTAACTAGGTGCTACTTTCTAGTATGTTCATTCTACTCACTGAGGTTTATGCCTAAAGTCAAACTTGTGTTCATATATATGGATACATCAGTTGCACTTGCTATTGGAAATATTTAGACTAATTAAGTTCATGAGCAAATCAATTAAATGGGGGGAAGAGGCATTGAAAGCAACCATGGATACCAGAGACAATGTGGGAGGAGGGGGAAACACAGCAGAAGGGGAAGGATAGG